TGTGTAGTTCTTCTTCATGTCCGTAGCAAATACTGATACCCACTCTACATGATCTAAGCGTCACTAGCGAACGGTGCACATACCTGTGCTTGCAAGACCAAATAGACTAGGTTTACACACGTGCGAAGATCCTTTCAGACGAGCTCGGCAAATCACGGCAAATCACGTTGCTTTGCCGAGAAGTTACGATTGCAGGTGTTTAACCACATAATAACCATTCCGTTATTTAAACAAGAATAGATATGGGTTACCCCATATCCAAGATATTCGACTTTTAATTTATTCGAATTTTCATTGTGCTCAGATGATTTCTAATTAAAAAAAAACCCACTGATTTACTGATAAAACGTCAGAGATACTCAAGCTGTAGAAAGTCAACTATACAATGGCCATAAATAACCTAAAATGACATAATATTTAGGCTACTGAGTTTCAACATCTTTTGTTGAATAAAATATGCATGTACTAAGGAAACTGCATGTACATAACATGTATATAACGTTACATGCGATTAGTGACTTTTATTATCACAACGTTGCAGATGCCTACAGAAATAGTTTTAATTTCACATAGAACATAGACTAAATATAATTAACCGTATAATTTTAAAAATGTATTTAACAGCTCACTCATTTTCAGGAATATTTAACCCAAATAGCATGTTACAGGTTCAAAGTGAGGGGGGGGGGGCTCCGAAAAAATCCCGCGTACTATGGGCCTGTGCTACATGTGTACCATCTAACTTTCCAATGATAGAATCTTCTGTAAAAATTCGAAACAAGTCCAAGCAAAGATCAAAGATAGCCCAATTTTTTAAATAGCAAAACTATAGATCTATCAAGGATAGATTTTAATTTATTTTTTGATTTTTTACTATTAAAGTGCTATCACTCAAAGTATAGGCAGATGTTAAAGATGGGTCAACAAGAGTAATCAATGAACTTGTCTAGAGATGCATTGACGGCCGTTGTTAAACGCAAAGGAAAGCGCGAGATCGGTTGCGGTTGTGGAGCATCACTCCTTCGTCATAGAATAAAATCCGACATTTAACACTTTATATAGATTTTGAATATAGAGACGTTTTGAAGATAAACTTCATTTTTGTTTCTAGAAATGTTTTTATTTACAAAAATAGTATATTTTCGTGTTTTTAAACTGAGTAGATCAATAACCTAGCATCGTTTTAGGTAACTCAGCCCCTCTAGCCCAGTCTAGGCAGGTCTAGGGCTTGAGTAAAAATCCTGCACTTGTTATGAAACTGGTGTGTAGTTCTTCTTCATGTCCGTAGCAAATACTGATACCCACTCTACATGATCTAAGCGTCACTAGCGAACGGTGCACATACCTGTGCTTGCAAGATCATGAGTTTACACCGCGAAGATCCTCAGGACGAGCTCGGCAAAATCACGGCAAATCACGTTGCTTGGCAGAAGTTACCATTCAGGTTTAATACCATTTTCCGTTAAAAAAAAGAGAAAAAAACACACACACAGTTAATGATTAATATTCTCACTCAAAAGAAAATATACGGCAATTAACGAACATAACATATTAATAAATGGTGAACAGTTATATAATTGGTGAAAAGATTTATCACTATCAATCGAAGGATGACCTATATATTTTCGTGAAAAAGACTGAGGAGGCAGCGAGCGTAGGAATATGAAAACTTTTTATTTCCTTTAGTGGGGGAAAAGTGATTTTCTTAAAATCTTTTTACTTAAATTTTGTTTTCTTTAACGTATTAAATATACATCATTATTCTTAACATTTGTTGTAATGTTGTATCTACTGATCATGAATGGAACTATTTTCTTGGGAGCAATTGTGTGAAGAGTACCTGACTTTAGTAATATATCTTGAATAGATAATATGCACTGATCGAATATATTAAAAAAGAGAAAAAAACACACACACAGTTAATGATTAATATTCTCACTCAAAAGAAAATATACGGCAATTAACGAACAATAATCATGACAGTTATATAATTGGTGAAAAGATTTATCACTATCAATCGAAGGATGACCTATATATTTTCGTGAAAAAGACTGAGGAGGCAGCGAGCGTAGGAATATGAAAACTTTTTATTTCCTTTAGTGGGGGAAAAGTGATTTTCTTAAAATCTTTTTACTTAAATTTTGTTTTCTTTAACGTATTAAATATACATCATTATTCTTAACATTTGTTGTAATGTTGTATCTACTGATCATGAATGGAACTATTTTCTTGGGAGCAATTGTGTGAAGAGTACCTGACTTTAGTAATATATCTTGAATAGATAATATGCACTGATCGAATATATTAAAAAAGAGAAAAAAACACACACACAGTTAATGATTAATATTCTCACTCAAAAGAAAATATACGGCAATTAACGAACAATAATCATGACAGTTATATAATTGGTGAAAAGATTTATCACTATCAATCGAAGGATGACCTATATATTTTCGTGAAAAAGACTGAGGAGGCAGCGAGCGTAGGAATATGAAAACTTTTTATTTCCTTTTCTGGGGGAAAAGTGATTTTCTTAAAATCTTTTTACTTTAATTTTATTTTGTTTTCTTTAACGTATTAAATATACATCATTATTCTTAACATTTGTTGTAATGTTGTATCTACTGATCATGAATGGAACTATTTTCTTGGGAGCAATTGTGTGAAGAGTACCTGACTTTAGTAATATATCTTGAATAGATAATATGCACTGATCGAATATATTAAAAACAGCTTATAGAGACAAAAGAGTTACATTATTGATAACATACAGTGCATATTAGAATACAAAAATAGGAAAAAGGTGACTCGACCCCAGATTTAAAAAGAAAAAAAAAATGGAAAAGGGGGGGGGGAGGGTCCATACCCCAAGTGCCTGTGTTTTAAAGAAACTATTCAAGATATTGCACCAAACTTTATACTAATACAAATTTTCCTGCTGCATTACTAATGATCCTTTGGCGGGGCATTTATGTCCTATGGACATATTTCTAGTTCATTATGATTTGCATGATTTTTAACAAATGAAATTAAGCTTATATTACCTAGAAAAATACAATTTATTGTTTTTATTGTTAAAATTCACGTTATGAAGTTCAATTATCTCTACTGTTACCATCTTAATGGTAACACAAGTGACAGTAAGAGGAGGGACTTTTTCTAATATAAATCCACTGTTAAATAGTATAATGAAATCTTTTTCGGTCATTCGGATATTGAAACCATTAGTTTGTAACTTAGTTCAGGTAATTGTTTTGGCAGATTGAAAATTCAAAAGAGTTCTTCATTGTTATTAAGTAACATATAGGACATACTTATTTTCATTACACATTTCCAATCAGACAAACTTTTCGACCTCTATACTCTTTCTTTATCATTATTCTTAGGGAAAGTAGTCCCGGAGAATTGACACTGTACGGAGTTTGCATGTTGGGGAGCATTTCATGTAACACCTTTTTATAAAACCATAAGTCAATAAATATCTGATGAGAAATGAAAAACAAATTGAAACGTAATTACAAACATCTAGACTTAATTAGTATTAAACACATTTTAAAAACTAATTTATTAATAATTTTTATGCATCGATGTTATCAATACGGAATTATTCTATCGAACCAATGAAAAATAAATCTCTTTTCCCCATGTGCACATTCTAACTAAACACAACCACAATTAAATAGATCGGCCTCTCCATTGAAGGCCATGAGAAGAGTTCCTGTGAAATGGGGATAACTGTTATTTAAGGTCAAGATCTAGTAAATGAAAGGAACCTACAGATTTCTCAAATTTGAGAAATAAATTCCTCAAGTTTAATGATGCTTTATAACTACAGCTTGGTTGAATAAGGTGTATCAGGGCATAATTTGTAGTAAACAAAATATAAAAAAATTATTTTAAACTATCATTTGCAATGAAAATGAAGAAAACTAGTTATGAATATGGGCGTTTTTCCGTATCAGACAAAGGAAATGTATCCAGATTACCCACAGTCTCTCAGAATACGGAAATTTGTATGTTCTGAGCCTCTTCTTTAAAATAATATTAAATTGAATATACGTATCGGGGTTACTCTTCACGTGATTTCAAATTAAATTCCATGAAAATACTTTATTTTCTACATAATTCTATTAGAGCTGTAAAGTACGGGAAAAATAAAGTTTAAATTGATTATGACGTCATAATGGATCAAGCACCAGGAAGACAGTCTAAAGTCATTTACTAGATCTTGATCTTAAACATTTTCCTTTTAGTAACAGGAAAGACAAGAACTGGTAGGACGGTCACTTCCTGAATGTAATATGCACAGCTGATACTAATATGACTTGGAGGACATAAGTAAAACATCATTATTTAATTAAACAAACTGAAATTGCTTCGTACGGGCCATTTTGGAGAAGATTTTTTAATGCTGCTATTGTGGTTTTTTTAATCTATAAAAAAATAAGTTTCTGAAATGGAAGAGATTTGGTATGAAACGTAAATGTGCATCATATATATTAAATAATTTGTCAGTCAGGTGCGCTACTTTTGTCGCCAAACTTGTTTTTGATAATTGTACAAATTTCCAGACGTTTTCTTTCATTTCTTTTAAGATGCATTAAACTCTTGACTAAATCACAAAACAGAATACACTGCAATAATCTATCAATTAATAGTTCATATAACGTTAGTAATCCTAAACACGGGAAAGGGGGATCCACTACACTGAAAAAAAATTAAATGCTGGAAACATTTTCCCTTCAATAAAATTACAGTTTGATAGTGTTTTTTAATCATTATCCTGAAGAAGAAGAAGAAAAAAAACATGGTTTGGTTGACACTTAAAGCAGTGCACATTCCATTCAGTATTTTCGGTACTTTGATTTCATAAATCTTACAGTCTGCATCATCTAGACGTTTGCGCACGCACATGTTGACTAACAGATAAACGCAAACGTCTGGATGATATTGACATCTGGTACACTGCCGCAGACGCCATCTAGTGAACTGTTGGAAGAAAACAAAATAAACGCGGTTACACATCACTCACAAAGTGAAGTTTTTTGACTCAAAATGGAGGCAGTAGAGAAGATAGACATGTCGCTAGGTGAATATACATGTTTAAAATGTTAAGTTAAAATCATTTTGTTTACAAAATGTGTATTCCCAAATGCACGAGGAAAATGGGACACTTTCAAACTTTGGCAAGGAGGCTGAATATGATATCAGATCAGAATAAGCAGTGATTGTATCATATACCTTATATATCAACACTTTTATCTACAATGTTATCAGATTGTAGAAATTATTATATGGTCTTGAAGTTTGATGTTAAAAGTGCTTGGACACAGATTTGAAGTTAATATTTTCTCATATTTTCTGTATAATTTCATGACTTATATGCTGTTAAAATATAAAAAAAATCTTATTTCATCTGGAAGTTAATATGTTGACGGTGTGACCGTTAGGGCGAGCACGATACTTTTATAAACTGTATTTAGACCCATCTCTTCAAACCGCACGTGACATATTGTACGTCTAGACTCTGACGTCACAAGACGTCGTATATAAGTTGCATTTTACCAAACCAAAGCCTGAACGCTAGCATGTTTTAATGAAGAACGTTTTATATACTATTTATCGGCAATATATCCATTAAATCAAGACCAGTTTATTTTTTGTTGAACTTTTGTTGTCATTCTCGCAAGAATGTAGCTTAAACAAGCGATGCATTGTGGGTCTAAAGTTACTGTGGAAAAAAATTCTATTGAATGAATGTGCAGTAGTCCGAATTTTCTCTTCGCCCAGGCATTGTCGTTAGAGCTCGCAGTGATGAGCTGTGCTCGCTATTAAAACTTCGAATTTCTGGACGCGTTGGATTGACACATCTTTGCGCTTTCACATATTTTAATTTTATTCTCAATACTTTAAAAAACTGGCAATTTTGTTGTGTATTAATGAAAAATATTAAAACTATAACCCAGAAAATTCAGAGTAGAAATGATCGAAAGCAAAACCCTCTCACAGTATTGTAAGTCCGTGCTTAGTGGTGTGTGCAGAATTTAACAATAGAACACATCCGGAGAACACATCCGGTGAATCGTAAACATTAACAATAACAGAGCTTGTGCCCTGTTTACAAAAACAGTTTACGTTTCACGGTTGTGTTCAATTTGTTAAACTCTGTACACATCACAGAACACAGACTGACAATACTGGTGAGTTTGATTTGTTTTAGAACATTTTTACTCTGAATTTTCTGGATTATAGATGTAATATTTTTCATTAATACATAACAAAATTGCTTCTTTTCTTAAATATTAAGAATAAAGTTAAAATTTGTGTAAGTGCAAAGATGTGTTAATCAAATGCATCCCGAAATTCGTAGTTCCAATAATTTCCAGATAAAATAAGTTTTTAATTATATTTTCGTGTGAAATGCTGTTGCAATATATAAGTCGTGATAATTATACAGAAAATTTGAGAAAATACTAACTTCAAATCTGTGTCTAAGCACCTTTAACTCATCTGCTCATAAACTGTAGCAGCAGTAGTTTGGAAACATCTGTAACAGGTTGGGACCAATCGCCAGAATGGTATAGAATAACCCGTTTAGGATATAACATCCCAAACGGAATATAAATTTACAGTGCAAAAACTGAAAATTTTTATTTTGGCTATTAATACCCTAAAATCACATCTGAATTAACTTTTCGAGAACATGTTTTTCTGTATGCCCACTATTTAGGAGATTGATTCCTTGGAAGTTCCTAGACTTCATGGGGATCAATCTAACAAATTGTAGGGTTGCAGAAAAGCTTGCAATTTAGAATAGGGCATATTAAAGAAGACAGCATTATCTGTTTAACGCAACTGTACATGGGTGAATTTAAAACAGGGTAAAATTGTTGTGTGAATGTGCAAAAAACACAGGATGAACTTGAAAATAACCCTGAATACAGTATTTCATATCAATATATCATGTTATATTGAAAGATTACATGACTTTCGTGGTTGTAAAAGTTTTGCCATCTCATATATTTGTTTCATTGTTTTGAACTTTTGATATTTATGTACGTATTGAAAAGAGGATATAATCAATGTAATCTATTTAATTTCTTTTTTCCTTTTTTTTTAACAGATGACATAATAAAACTTAACAAGAAAAACACAAGGACAGCTGGAAATAGAGGAGGCAGAGGACAAGGCAGAAGGGGACAGGGAAACAGAGGAGGATTTACTAATAGAGGAGGTTTTAGGGGAAATACAAACAGAGGAGGCATGAAAAGGGGAAATACTAATAGAGGAGGCACACAGAGAGGAAAAACAGGCAGAGGAGGTGTAATGTGGGGCTCAGGCCAGGGTTCTGGGGTCAGTAGAGGGTCTAAAGGTGGTAATCGGGGGAAAAGACAGGGAAGGACAAATACTGCAGTGGACAATGTCAAGGGAAGAGGTCCCAACAAATACAAACAGCTGAGGACCAATCTCATGAGGAGAGGAAAGGGTAGGGGAGCTAAAGGTGTGAGTCCACTGAACAGAGTAAATACTAGTCAGGTATGTATGGAGAATTGGTTCTTTTTAGTCATATAAGACCTGTTAAAAAATGTAAATGATGTGAAATTGAAGCAAAAACAAAATGATGATGACACATACGGTTATAAAAAGCAATTAGCATTAACTGGTCTTGTTTGAAATCCTTCACAGAATCAGGAACAAAGGCGACCAAATCAGCAAAAGAACAGGGCATCAAATCTAGGTCAGATCAAGTCCCAGGCGCTCAGTGCTCTTAGACAAGCTAGGCTTACACTAGCTAAGATTTCAGCCCGTGAAAAGAGAGAAAATATTGTCAACCAGCGTAGAGGAATTCAGGTGGGATATTTTAGATAGCCATGTCAATGACTCTTTGTCATAGACCAAGGATCATATTAAAAATTTCTCTTTGATTGGTCTCTCACCAAAATATTTTATTATTATAACATCTCAATTGTAATTCCAAGTATTTTAATTGTTTTTGTAATTCATTGAATCTAGTTTCATGCTTATGATATGTTTCTACATTAAAAGTTTGTTCTGAGTACCAGTAATCATTTTCAAAGTTTTACAATGATAATGTGTTAGCTGATTTATTTCTGTGCTATTAATTATCATATTATGTCCCTGCTAATTGTGAAACTAAAATGTTACTTTAAAATTCCAGACAAATAACCAGAGCCCTAGGAGACAGCAATCATTGAACAGAGGGGGTGGAAGAGGAGGGGGCAGGGGTCGGGGAGGTGGAAGGGGTGGTTTCCGACGTAGATGGAGGCAGCCAAATCAGCAATCCACTGTTGATGATAGTGGTATCATTACAGTCAGTGTGGCGAACTCACCACAAAGTCAAAGGCAGCAAAACAGGTGTGTCATACTGGCACAGTTGCTAGTTTATGATTAGGATATTTGTATGTTTCCTGGTACATGGGTATTTATTCACAAATCTTTAATTTAAATCCACATTTTGCCATTTTCTTTTGAGATTGACCAGCATGTCCTTGAAATTGTTAATATTAATGATATTTTTTTTTTCCTGCAGACCCAGAATCAATAGAAACAACTTAAACACCTCAAATATTCGCCAAGAAATACTTGTAAGTATGGGATTCTCTTAAATAGTTGAACTGATGCACAGTATTGAGCAGGGACAAAATGACTGTACAAACAGTATTCCACATAGATTAATGGAGTTTATCTAATCTGTATAGGACTTTTCTTGTTTCCCAAGACAATAAGATAACAAAAATCACAACTTTCACAGCCACGTGTACGAATATCTCTATTACCTTTACATTCAATTGATGAACTCAACCAGAAACATTGTATTCCAATAATTTTAGTATATTCTGTTAAGCATAAAAAAGATAATGACATTTTGGGTAAACAGAATCAAACTCGAGACATTTTGAGAATGTTGAAACTGATTTTATTAGTCAATGTGCATGTAGTAGTATTGGAGTTATTAATTTATGAATTGTGTTGAGGAAGAGCAAGGATTCTTTAATTATATTCTCTTGGCATGTTCTTTTTAATCTGATTGAAAGAAAGTTTGATGTACATATTTTTCTGTTGTCAATTTTTCAGAACTTGAAACCATCAGCAAGACAAAAATACAGGATGAATAAAGAAATATTTGCCAGAAATGCAGTAAGATATATTTAAAAACTATGTAACAGAATTGTCAGGTTGCCCGTATACATGTAGATATAAGTTGATCATAGACAAATGAGCAGAGCAGAAGAGGACTGTGCCATCTTACAAAAAAATTATACTGTAAATTCATGTGACTTTGATATTGCTAAGATATATAGGTTGAATGTTCTTGCACCTTTTTATCTTAAGAGAAACCTTTGCTTCAAGTATGAATGTATGGACTTCCACAACTTAGGTTTAAAGAATTGTGGTTCAAAGAAAATTTGACTATTTACATGTAGTTCAGAGACATGTGACAGACCTTATCCAAGTAATAATAGCCCAAGGTGATGACCAATCTCTTGAGATCCATTCGTGTGTGCCTTTTGTTTAGTTGTACCCTGTGAAGTATTTGTAAAGTTTGGAGATTCTAGTATACTATATTTTGTTTTTATACGTAATGTTATTTTTTATGGCATCAGCTAAAGGTCAAAAACCATTCTAGGGATCATAACTTGCTTTACGCAACAATTGGCCTGACCCTGCTCTGCTCCATACAAGTGTACGAGCCACACAAGGAGCTCCCAGTGTTTACACAGTCAAGGTGTCAATCTTGGATGCAAAAGAAAATAGAACATATCAATTTCTTTTGAAAATGATCACAGTGAATCTCTTGAAAATAAAAACTGCATTAAGTATATTTACAATAAAATCTTTTACAAAATACTACTTACTACACAGACTACTGAGAAAATTCTAGACATAGAGTCACCAAGGGTCCAAGTGAAATTTATTGTATTGTCAACTATAACTAAGCAGTTTTGATTTTTCAGAAATTCATGGGGCCAAAAAAGCCCCTACTGAACCTTTTTCTTTTACCATAAACATCGAAGAGTTGAGCTCCATTATTGGGTTTTATAGCTATGGTGCAATCACTGAATATGTTGTACATAAGCTAAAAAATATTAAAAAGCAAGCTTAAACATTGACAAGTAGAATAGAAATGAAATTACCTCTTCAGCTGACTGAAAAGAGATGAATTAATTATTCAACAACACGAACAGGCTTCCATGTTTGTTTAGATTTGATGGCATCTGGTTAATCATGTTAATTAATTCAGACCTGTATTAATTTGGATTGTGGCATAAAGCCCCACACACATAATTTCTGAAGTTTTTTTTTTTATGTTCAACACCATTGAAGCCTTACAGGCTATTGATTAATTATGCCTCCTTCAAAGAAGGGAGGGCATATTGCTTTGCTGCTCTCTGTCGGTCGGTCCACCAACAGTTTCTGTTCATTTTCTTTGCAAAAGTTGCACATACTGAAAGGAAATTTGGTATACAGATTCATCATAAGAATATCTAGGTCAACTTTTGTTTTGGGTATGATCGAGCAATTTTTGACAGAGTTATGCCCCTTGGACTTGGAAAAATTCCATTTATTTACAGTTTCCATTAATTTTCTTTGCAGAGGTTGCACATACTGAGATGAAATTTGGTATACAGATTTATCATAAAAATATCTAATTGAAGTTCTGTTTTGGGTATGATCAAGCAATTTTTGACAGAGTTATGCCCATTGGACTTAGAAAAATTCCATTTATTGGGGGGGGGGGGGGGGGGGCATAAGTGTTTCACAAACATCTCTTGTTACATTTTATGTTGTAAACTTTACATATATGTACAGACATAAATGTCAGTGATTTGTTTTTCTCTTTTTTTTGTAGACTGGTGTCAGCCTCAGTGACCGTTTTGCCTCAGAATCAGATGGAGATAGACGCGTTTATCTGTAGATGATGAACATATCCAGTCTTTAAGTTGGAAAATTTAGTGAGAAAGCATGGAAGAAACGGACTTCCTATTATGAAACTTGGTGAAGTCAGAGGGAAAGAGACAGTAGTGATATTGACAAGGTGCTCTGCGACGCATGCATCATCATTCATGTTGCGAGGTTGTTTGATTAAAATTTTTTGCTATTGTACATTTTCAAGACATCACTTTTTAGGTCACCTGAGTCACTCAGGTGACCTATTGCTATCCGTTTTTGTCCGTCGTCGTGCGTCGTGCGACGTGCGTCGTGCGTTAACATTTAAACATTTTCAGCTTCTTCTCTGAAACCGCTCAACCAATTTCAGCTTATTTTGGCATATAGCATCTATGGGTGAAGGGGGACAAAAATTGTGAATTTCATGGTCCCTGCCCCCCTGGGGCCTGAGGGGTGGGGCTAAAACCACCAAAATTAATGCAATCTTTAAAAATCTTCTTCTTTACTCCTGGACATCAAGCAGTCAAACTGTTGACATGATTGTAATAAGCATTGAGCCCTCTACCAAAATTGTGAAATTCATGGCCCCAGGGTCAGGGGTTCTGGTGCTAGGGCGGGGCTATATAGATCATATAGTGAAAGTGCATTATTTCTTTGAAAATCTTCTTCTCTACCCCTGGGTATTATTGAAACAAATTGAATACATAGTTATGATAAGCAAGAGTGACTTTACCAAAATTGTGAAATTCATGGCCCCAGGGTCAGGGGTTCTGGTGTTAGGGCGGGGCTATATAAATCATATAGTGAAAGTGCATTATTTCTTTGAAAATCTTTTTCTCTACTCCTGGGTATTATTGAAACAAATTGAATACATAGTTATGATAAGCAAGAGTGACTCTACCAAAATTGTGAAATTCATGGCCCCAGGGTCAGGGGTTCTGGTGCTAGGGCGGGGCTATATAGGTCATATAGTGAAAGTGCATTATTTCTTTGAAAATCTTCTTCTCTACTCCTGGGTATCATTTAAACAAATTGAATACATAGTTATGATAAGCAAGAGTGACTCTACCAAAATTGTGAAATTCATAGCCCCAGGGGCAGGGGTTCTGGTGTTAGGGCGGGGCTATATAAATCATATAGTGAAAGTGCATTATTTCTTTGAAAATCTTCTTCTCTACTCCTGGGTATTATTGAAACAAATTGAATACATAGTTATGATAAGCAAGGGTGACTCTACCAAAATTGTGAAATTCATGGCCCCAGGGTCAAGAGTTCTGGTGCTAGGGCTGGGCTATATAAATCATATAGTGAAAATGCATTAATGCTTTAAAAATCTTCTCTACTCCTGGGTATTATTTAAACAAATTAAATACATAGTTATGATAAGCAAGGATGCCTCTTCCAAAATTGTGAATTTCATGGACCCTGGATCAGGGGTTCTGGTGTTAGGGTGGGGCTCTATTTATTATATAGTGAAAATGCATTAATGCTTTAAAAATCTTCTCTACTCCTGGGTATTATTTAAACAAATTAAGTACATTGTTATGATAAGCAAGGATGCTTCTTCCAAAATTATGAAATTCATGGCCCCAGGTACAGGGGTTCTGGTGCTAGGGCGGGGCCATATATATCCTATAGTGAAGGTGAATTATTTCTTTAAAAATCTTCTTCTCTGCGCCTGGGTATTATTTAAACAAACTATTAGTACATTGTTATGATACGCAAGTATGCCCCTTCCAAAATTGTGAATTTCATGGCCCCAGGGGTCAAGGGTTCTGGTGAAAAAGGGGGGGGGGGCTCTATTGATTATATAGTGAAAAAGCAAAATTTCTCTGAAAATATTCTTTTCTGCTTCTGGTTAAAAAGCAAAGAAGCTAAGTGTATAGTTATGATGAGCATGATTACTTCTTCCAGAGTAGTGAATTGCATGACCCCTGGGTCAGATGTGCTGGTGTAAGGGTGGGGCTCTTGATAATGTAGTGAAAATGCATTAATTCTGTTAAATAATCCTGTCTGCTCCTTAGTGTTAATCAGATAAACAAAGTGATTACTTACATGTATGATGAATAAACTTCTGGTCCCAGGGTCAGAGACTCTGGTGTTTCTCGGTGGGGATGGGAGGTGGGGGGGGGGGGCTGGGGGGCTCTATTGATAATGTAGTGAATCTGTAGTAAAAACTGCATTATTTCTTTGAAAATCTTCTCTGCACCTGGGCATATCAGAGGCAAAAAGAGTAAATGTTTTAATAAATATTTTTGAACGTCTGGGCCATTTTGTCAAGTGTTCTGGTCCTGGCCAGGGCTCTATTAATTTGTATTCTACTGAGGGGAGTTATTCCCCTTTGCCATTTACTTTTGATAATTAGTCACTGTAAATAATGTACTTGAAAGGTTAATAGAATAAGAGAATTTTGCAAGATATTTTATTGTATAATACAAAAAGTACTTTCATAGTTTTAATGATCAGGTAGACTTGTAAGTAATAGATAAATAAAAATGAGACAAAAATAACTTGTCTTATTCAATGTTCATCAAAGACCAAGAGAGTCCAATGTAAGAGATTTCAACAAGGAATTAAAATAGTACAGAAGCATTGATAGTTTGTTAATATACTGTATTCTGATAGTGATAAATGGGGAACAGATTAGAACCTAATTTATGAACTGTTAATGAACACTAGACTAATTATTTTGTTGAACCTGATCACCCTATTTTTCTTGCTTTTGGG